GGGCACAGAAAGAGACTGGGCCTGACTTGGGATTTTGAAACCTCAAAGCCTACCCCTAGTGACACATACCCTTAGTCGTCCAACACCTCCTAGTCCTTCTCAAATAGGGCCGCTCCCTGGTGAGTAAGCATTCTTATACATGAACCTATGGGGACCATTCTGACCATTCTTATTCAAACACCACAGTCCCCTAAACCAGTTCATTTTCCAACTTCACTCCTGCTCCCTGTAATACCCATTGTAATTATTTAGGGATGTAGAGAAAGTTTAATTTCACTGTGGTTAGAGAACACAAATGGCAGACTTTTGCAATGTACTGTGTGCCTTTATCCCCTCAGCTAGTGTTTCTTGTGGGTTTCCTGGACCCTCATCCACATAAGCCAGTCAAGGGCTAGGAAGGAATTTATGAAACTTTGGGGGCTGTACTCCTGACTTCTTGTTTTCTGACATTTCTTCCCTCATTTTCTGGAGTTAGACCTTTCTGAGAACTCAGGTCAATGAGACTGGATTTCTCCATCACTTCCTGGAAAATAAGACAAATGTCCTTCCACACAAAGTGTGTGTGTGTGTGTGTGTGTGTGTGTGTGTGTGTGTGTGTGTGTGTGTGTGTATGTGTCTGTGTGCGTATGTGCGTATGTGTATGTGTGTATGTGTGTGTAGGTGTGTGTGTGTGTGTGTGTATGTGTCTGTGTGCGTATGTGCGTATGTGTATGTGTGTATGTGTGTGTAGGTGTGTGTGTGTGTGAGATCCCCCCAGCTCCCACATATTCTGCTCCACTTGCACTGCCCTTACGATTTTTGCACAGAATATGTAAATCAGTCTACATACATGTATATAATCAGGAAAGTAACTTGGTGGTGTCCCATTCTCCAATTTATATTATCACTCTGAACACAGTAAACTTGACTTCCAACCCAATGATGTTCAGTTTCAGTTGGATTCAGTTGTTCATTTCTCTAATTTAGTTATTTCATGGTTTCTTCTTACCAATACACGAAGTCCTTTTAGAGTGAACATGAATAATTTAAGAATTGCGTGAAATGAGCTAAAGATACACATGAAATGAGCCAAACAGCATATGGTTAAACCCATGAATATGTCAGCTAATGAGTCACGGGCATGTGAGTATATAATGAAGAAAACTTTGCTGAAACACCTCCTTGTATTTTATAAAATAGTCTAAATATTTGACATAGTTCAGTGGTGTTCTGAAATGACAGTCTACATAGCTTGGATGATGTGTTAGTTTGCAGTAAGGAAGTACCATGGGTTGGAAGTATCAATTATCTTATTCTTTCTGTCACTCAGTATCTGACAAAAGCAACTTAAGGGGGGAAAGACTTGGGTTCACAGTTCAAGAGGATTCAGTCTACATGACTGAGAAGGGGCTTCATCTGTAGCAGTGGGAGCCTGTAGCATGGCTTGGTGCACCTTGATGGGTCAGAGCAGAACCAGCTCAGACAGAAAGTCGGACCAGGCCCTTCCAGGTCTGCCCTATCAACAGCCCATTTCTCACAGATAGACTCCACCCCCAACCTCCCCAAGTAGTGCCCCTAACTGGGGACCAATTGTTCACACATGAGTCTGGGGCTATTTCTTACATCAAACCAGAACCCTGAGTGCTTATATAGCACCTTCATTTTCTCACAGTTGTGGGGACTGGATGACTAAGAGCTTGTTGTCTACAAGATATAGTTTGTCTGAGTCTTTATCCACATCTTATAGATGACCACTTTCTCTCTGTCTTCTTGTCATCTGCCCCCTTGTCTGCTGGTGCCCTGTTTTTCATTTTAGGGACGCTCCAAGTATGATCACATTCTGAGGTACAGTGTTTGGCTCCAGAACATTAATTCCAGGACCACAATTCAACATTGATGACTTTGGGATAGTAATACAAGTGTTATCTAGTGAAGAATGGAGTATTTTGCCCCTAATGATGGGTGCCAAGACTTGGAGAAAACCAGGTCAGAGTGTCATTAGGGATACTTCTCTCTCCCTGTGTTTTGATAACAACTGAACCTTGAGGAGCAGCTCCTGACAGTGTCTACACTCACTGACTCTCAACAGCTTTACTCTTCTTTGTGATGGTTTGGGTGTCTTGTTTTGTTCAGAACTCTGACTATGTATCTCAGGTTGACCTTGAACTCATGGTCCTCTTGCCTCAGTCTTGCTAGAGCTGGAATTACCAACATACATCCCCACACATCTTTTTTCCTAGTTAATACTAGTAGCAATTTGGGACATAATCAACTATCAGATGGCCCAAAAGGACATCATGATAAAAAGATACAATGTTCTATCATTTTTAAAAAATTCTCAGGAGAAAGCAGGAGGGTTACTCGTGAATTTGAGGCTAGCCCATGACACTTAGCGAGTACCTGGTCATCCTGTAAAGCAAATCCCTCCATATGTATAAGCCAGTGGTGGGACATACATCTATAACCTCAGCACTCAGAAAGTAGAAGGAAAGTGACCACAAGTCTGAGGCCAGTCTAAGTACCTATCTCAAAAAAGAAAAGCAAAAATAGGTGTATATATACTCTGTAATCTGAGCTACATCTTCTCTCCACAAATTTTATTCACGTTTAAATAATACAAATAAATTGCACATATTTATAGTGAGCATGTGATGTTTATGTTATATGTCTAGATTCTGAAACAATTACCACATTAAAATTAATTACCATATCTTTAATTTTATATATACATATCATCCATATAAGCTCATTCAAGTTCTATTTCCTTAGTAGTTTTCAACTTTATCATACATAATTATTAACTATACTCCTTGTGGCACACAATGCATCTCTTTATTGTTTTTCCTGATTAGAATGCTTTATCTTTGACTAGTAGGCTTATTCTGCTTAGCACTTCGTCCTCCAGCTTTATTGATCATATTGCAAAGAAAACAACTTTCTGAGGGTTCATGTTGTTGTTGTTTTGTTAGGATGAGATAGAGTCTCTCTCTTTGTATCTCAGGCTAGCCTAGAAGTCACCATCTATTCCGTACTGGCCTGGAACTCATGACTGCCTATCTCTGCCTCCCAGGTGCTGGCATTGCCGGTGTATATGCCAGTCTGACAGGGGCAGCGGATTCTTGCTGAAGCAGCTCGCCAGGACTCCAGCTCAGGTGAACTCAGAGGCCAGGGAGGAGCAGAAGCCAAAGGGAAGCACTAACCCGGAAGAGGCAGCAGAAGGGCCCACCTGCCCCTTTGGTCAGGTTCATCTGGAGCACACGTGGGTCCAGAGAGCTTTAACTGAGGGGAAGAGCCACTGTGAATGAGTTCGACACCCTCGGGTGGGCTGGGGTCCCTGACTGCATGCAAAGGGAGAAAGACAAGTGGAAGCCTGTGTCTCTCCGCTTCCTGGCTGCGGGTCCCTCACAGCCCCGGTTGCCACAATGGCCTTGCCGTCATAGACTGTCTGCTCCGTCTGTGCCTGAACAGAACCTTCCCTTCTGTAAGCCGCCTTTCTTAGGTTGCTTTTGGCACATGTTTTCTCGCAGAGGCAGGAAAAGCATCCAGGGTTGTCACCAGAGCAGAGAGAGAGGCTCCTGCTTAGAGCTGTGGGCCTCGCACCGCACGGCAGATAGCCTGCCTCCCTTTGTCCTACAAATGTACATTTTACTCACTGCATACACTAGTTTTTTTTGTTACCATGGAAAGTACCTGAGAAATAATTAAATGAACAACCAAAAGCTATACAGGAAGCAGCAGGATCTTTTAAATTTTAAATGATAATAAACATTGGCCTTTTACCCAAAAGAACAGGAGTAGGAAGAGCTGCGGAAGGCAATTCGGATCTATTTGTTTTTACTCATAGTTGGTTGGCACGTTACTTTTGGGCCTGTGGCAAGGTGAGATATTATGGTGGGAACACATAGGTTGTTTGCCTCATGGTAGCCAGGAAGGTGGGTACAGGGAGCAAGGGAGGGAAGGGAAGGGGTAGCGGGAGAAGGGAGTCAGAGTCAGTGGAGTCTTCACAGTCCCTTCAAGGACATGTCTTTAATCATCTAACTTCCTCCTATGAGGCAGTACCCCCCCTTAAAGATCTCACACTTCCCAAATACCACAGGCTAAAGACCAATAATCATTGACCATGTATGTTCTGGTGTGGGACTATTCATCCAGATTGTTAGATGCTTTCCTGTGTTGCTACTGAGTAACAGTTTTGTGGACCACTAGATGCCTTAATTTACATAGGCCCGTCTACTTTTTGCTTTAGATGCAGTTGCTGTCAGTCACCAGCACAAAACCCACAGTGGACCCCTTCATGCATAAGGCTTGTCTCATCTTGCAGATTAGTTTGTTTGAGCTAGATTCCCTGGTGGAAGTTTTGGAGTCAAAAGGTACTATTTCATTTTTATAGCAATGCTTCTGATGATCTGAAGGAGACTGGGGGTAAAGTGGAAAAATGAACACATTTGCAGCAGACGGTAATGAGGGAACTTAAAGATCCCGAGGGAGAAGCAGGGGCTGCATCACCCACAGATGCTGTCCTCTGAACATAGGCTTGTTGGGTGTCTGTCTTTTCTAACCCTTTCTGGATGCCCTCCGGCAGAGCTGAGAGCTGAGCTGAGCTGAGCAAGGGGAGCAACGGGAAGTGCTGGGCTCAGATCCACCTCAGGCAACAGCTCCAGACTGTGCAGACAGTTACCAAGGAGACCACCCCTCTTTTCCTGGTTAACAGTCCTGAATCTGTGCTGGGTGTCGGGACAGAATTAGTTCAAAATAGGGAGAAAACGAGAAAATGGCTTTAAAAGACAATTTACCTGTTGACCTCAGGGATCAGCACCAAACACACAGCAGAGAACTTTCTGGTCCAGTCCTTTTTCTGTTCAGTTTCATGGTTTGATCTTTCCTCTCGGCTGCATTTGTTTTAATTTTACTTTAATAAAATAGGGCCACCTGTGTCTCACTGCGTCTAATTACATTCAGCCCCGTGGAGTGGCAAATATCCCCACCTCATGGGCTCACGGGCTCTGATGAGAAGCAATGAGGTAGCAGAGCGATTACGAAAGCCCTGAGGAAACTAGTACCAGGGAGGCTCAGCCGCTCATGCTGATCCCAGCAGGCCTCCATCACCACCAGTCACTACAATGGGACTTTGTGGACCTGGCAATCATTGCTTCTGAGAAAACTGCTCACAGGAAGCAGAGAAGCCTCCAGCACTCTTCCTACTGGCTGTTCCACATCCCCCTTGGCTCTCCTGGCCCTGAAAGCCAGCCTCAGGGAGCTTGAGAGAGATCCGGAGGCAGGTGGATGCTGTTTATCAGGTATGACTTCACAAGAGCACAATTCCGGGTGTTGTAGGTTCTAATCAAGTCGCTGTCAATCTGTCACAACAGGAACAGCCCCCTCTAGCTGTGGGTCAATGAGGCTGATCAGCAGAATTTACTGCTAAATGGTGGTTGTGACTCAGGGACCAAGGGCAAGATGGAGCTGCGAGCCTGGGACCCTGCTGGTGAAGGGCAAGGCTGGCTCCCTGTGCAGGGTTCCCTCTGACTCTGCTCCACGTGTGAGCAAACATGAGGTCGGCGATGTCTCTGAGAAGGAGGAGAGCAAAGGGACGTTTGGTATGGGGACCTGGGACAGGCAGGGTGGGCTCCTGTCCCACCCACCCTGAGTTCTATGAAGCTTCAAGGATTTTCCAATTCCTAAAAAAGGGTCACCTGTCACTCGTGACCACAGGTTTCTGTGATACATTTCCAAGGAAGTTCAGAGGATTATAAAAATGCAAACATATCATGATTAGGCTGGGTTAGCCTAAGAAGGCAAAGATGGCTTAACCTGAGCAAAAGCAAGACAGGCCCTAGAGTGTTCATAGCAGTGTTGTTTGAATTTTAAAACGAAACAAGTGAAAGCAGCTTAAATGACCACTAGTAGAATAGTGAACACATGAATGAGTCATGATACAGTCATTCATACAAGGGAGAATGAGAGTGACAATGCATGACCATGACCCAGTGATTTTGCTGTGTACATATACAAATATACATCCCTCATATATATGTAGGTATACATATGTGTAAGTACACATACACCTCAAAAGATGTGATACTGATGAAAAATCAAGGTACAAAACAATATAGACATGAAGATTCATTCATAATTCATTGAAATACAAATATCAAGACTCACTTATGGTATGTATAAAACATGAAAAAGAGTGAAACAGACTCTGTGGAGAGGCAAATAGATGCATCAGTTCTGTAAAGAAAAGCATGGCCAATATCAACTCTATTTTCTGGGCTGTATTTATTTATGGAGACTACATTATGCACCAGGGACCGGAGCTGAGCGCTTCAAGGATATTGTAATGCCTCATTTGTCCCATTGGGTGGTGCTTGGCTGGTAGCTCTTTGAATATGAATCTCTATATACATTGTGTGTATGTTAAATATTTCACAATATGTTCTAATAAATATTGGATTAACTATGAAACAAAAAGCAAAATGAAGAGACAATAAGGGAACTATTATCTGGATTTATTTTTGATGTATGAAGATGAATTGGGTAGGAGTCTAGGCAGAAAGAAAAGTATCAGTTTAGGATCCACAGAGCTGGGGATGTACACATAGTTCCTAGTCTTTGAGGAAAAATACAGTTCACTAATTGAACTCAGTAGTTTTTGTATATACGTATAAATAATTGTGGAAGAAGGGGCATGAATTCTAGAGGGGATGAGGAGAGACATGGGAGGGAGGGAGGCAGGGAGGGATGGGAACAATGCAAATAAAGTGTATTCATCTATGAAATTCTCAAAAAATAATAAAAATAATGAACAATGAGAACCTTATCTTATGAGTAAAGGCACCAAAAAAATGTGAAGAGTTACAATGACAGGGTCTCTTATTTAAAATTTGAATATTAAAGGCCAAGAGAGCCAAATGCTTTCCTGTTCCCACACCCTGGGTTAGAGATTCATCTTCATTAGATCCCCAAGGGTTTGAACTGGTCTCCCATGGTTGAGGAGATGGAAGTATGGGACACGGTGATTTAGGGGTGTCCTCCAAAGGTTCAAGTTAAGGAAGCTTTGTCTTCAATGGACCAGCCCTGTGAGGCGGTGAAATTTTGATAGGCAGAGCCTAGTGAGACTGATGATTAGGTCAAGGATGCTCTCTCTACCTTTGGAAAGAATTACTGTCGTTCAGGGAAGTGGACAGCTGATGGGTCAATCACTACAGCCTCTGCACCTAGCCCTTTCCCTCTGCTTCATTTTATGGAGGATAAATCAGATTTACTCTTCTGTGAGGGGTAATCTTTTGGGGGAAGATGCTGTCAGAGCACAAAGTGCCTCTTGTACAGTAGGGAGATGAACAGCAAAGTGCCTCTCCCCGCCCCCCAGTGAAAAAGAGATCCTTTATGCTATGGCTTAAGTGCTCCCTCCCAAATGCATGTTGGGTTAGCTGACATTGTACCAGCATAGCAAGGCAGGATCTTTAGCAAGTGATGAGGTCCTGGGGACTCACCCAGGTAGTACCACTGAGGTTTTGAGAGCTAGCCAGTCATTGAGGATGTGGATTCCTGCTAAATGGATGAGTTCAGCCTCATTCCTTCACTCTGTCTTGTGTGCTCGCTTGTCCTGCCATGTTGTGATGCAGCAGGTAGGCCAGAAGCTTCTGCGATTTATAAACTATCCAGCCTGTAGTATTCTGTCACAGCAGTAGAACGGGGGCTAAGCATTGTTTGTCTGTGTTGGGATGCTGAAGCATCCAAAAGGCCATACTCTAACTGTCCATCCCATAAGTGCTAGGGCTGCTGTGAACTACAGGACATGCAGTGCCTCTAATGACTCTCTGAGCTCCCCTGGAGATGCTGCTTCTCACCAGAGCAAATGTAGAGGAATCCCTGCTTTGATAGGCAGACTGACTTCTCCCTTGGGTCATGTTCTTTCCCTATCTAACCGTTTAGAAAACAGATTCATTCATTCACTCACTCTTTATCAGTTGTTACAGTAAGAGAATAAAGGGAAAATACATGGAGCCTTTTTCTTCTGCTACTTCAAGAAATGTCCTTAACTTTCTAACTTTTCCTACCACTTTCTGCAAAAATAAATGTGTGTATCTGACAAGAGGGCACAAATAAAGCTCCCAGAATACTATAGATGCTTTATGGTTCTTACTACTGTTGGGACTCATTGTGGGTGAACCCCAGGAATATAGAGCTGGGTTAACCCAAACCTTCAAGGAGGCTACGTTCTTCATGTCTATGTCTCCTGACTGTCTTAGAGAGATGCCCACTGGCAGGTGCTCCAAACCAGTCACTGAGCCACCAAAGACATGTTCTATGAATCCCTGAGGTAGAAGCCTGAAACTCAAGATGGGTATAGGACTGATCTGTCCCAGGAATGACAGGCCTTTTTCTTCTTCTCCTTCAGACAAACTGGTTCTAATACCTGTGGTTTCTGTCCAGCATTAGCACCTCCACCCTTCTGGAGACCTGGGTGTATGTGGAAGGGTGGGAAAAGAGTGAAGTTGGCCATTGTCACTGCAGATGCAAACTGATCCCTTCAGAAAGATGACAATGAGGCATTTCTGAGTGATGCTGGAACTGTACTTGGGAGCCCACAGCACAGAGGGAAGGCAGCGGAGGCACGGCTGCCTCTTGGCCTCCAAAAGAGCAAATGTTTGGGAACGAGGGTGCCAGAACAAAACTGTCTGTGCTGTTGTCCCGGTCCCTGTTCAGCTCAAGTCACACATGTGCTAAGAGTCTCTTGGCTCTAGGTGGCTGGTAGACACTGGCTGACAGATTTGGGATCTGATAAGAGGCTGTTGGTGTCTTTCGTTTGTGCAAAATGCCGGAGATGAATTTTAACAGTTAAGGTTGGGAAGGAGAAAAAAGGAAGAAAAAAGAAAGAAAGCCTGAGAATTTTGCCAACATCGCCATGCTAGCTGTGTCTTTTAAAGGATTGCTTGTGGCTGGCAAGTGTCTGTTCTGGGGGAGTCTATAAGGGACCTTGATGCCATGTGCTTTCTGTGGAGTCGAGAAGTCCTAAGAGCAGAAGCAAAAGGAGCAGTTCATGGGGACCCATCTTCCCCCTGGTTCCTGTTCCATCTTGGATTCATTGGCATCCTCTTATGCAGGCTGGCAGCGTCCATCTGTGCAGGACTCTACCCTCAGGACAGCAGCCTCAGGTGGACATTAGGACCTGCATTAATGGTGCCAAACAAAACTCTCTTTCCCCCTCTAATTATGATGATGATGATAAGTTAAAAACTTTACAGCTGTTGAGAAGAGGACTCAGAGGGTAAAGGCACTTGCCACTAAGCCTGGTGACTTAGTTCCATCCCTAGAAGCTGCATAAAGATAGGAGAAAACCAACCATACAAAGTTTTCCTCTGACCTCCACGTGTGCACTGTGGCATGTGCATCCACACACACACATCATTGCACACATATAACACAAAATAATAAGTAAGACATTTAAAATAAAAAATAATCACCCCTGAGGACATGTTATTTTGGAAGCTGTGACAACCTCCATTGTGCAAGCCAATAAACTACTATGATTTGAGTGATGGGTCTAAATGCCTGATATCACCATTTGTCCTAGTCAGTTTTTTTGTTGCTGTGGCAATCAACATAAAGAGGGAAAGGTTTGTTTGACTCATGGTTTCAGAGACTATAGTTCATGATCACTTTGTCTTGTTGCTTTGGACCTGTGGACAGAGAATGTAACATTGAAAGCGCTCGGTAGAGGAAACATGCTCAACTCGAAACATCCAAAGGGCATGAGGTGGGGTGCACTCCAGATAGTTTTTCCTGTGACATGCCCTCCAATGGCCTAACTTTCCTACACTATGTCTACTTGACAAAGTGGTTTTGGGCGACAGAGTTAAACATCAAAGGAGGAAGATAATGTCACTGGTTGTAGGACACAACCTAGTCCCCACTGTGACCCAATGTGCCCTTTTGCAAGACTTCTGCTGACTATGTCACCTTGTTGGTGTAACTTTCTCCAGTCAAGCAGATCTAAAACACACATATGGACTGTGGGCACATAAAGTCTCTCTAGTCAATAATGATATGATCTTGTCACAGCTTTAGTAGTTAGTGTCAATGGATGACATCCAGGGCATCCCTGTGGACATCACAGTTTCAACAGTTTCCTAGAGAAGCCATGAATGGGAAGGAATGTAATCATGGTCAATGCTATGATGTGGATGTAGAAAATGCCCCATAGACTTGTATGTGCACTTTCTGTTTTTTCTTTCTTTTTAACATTTGGTTCACTCTTGGTATTTTGTCATAATAAGAAACTTAACTAACACAATCAACAACTTTAGCCAGGGTCTGTCTTAGGGTTACTGTTGCTTTCATGAAACACCAGGACCAAAAAAGCAAGATGGGGATGAAAGGGTTTATTTGGCTAATATATCCTAAATCATAGTCCACCAAGGGAAGCCAAACCAGGCAGGAACCTGGAGGCAGGAGCTGATGAAGTGGCCATGGAGGAATGCTGCTTACTGGCTTGCTCATTATGGTTTTCTCAGCCTGTTTTCTTATAGAACCCAGGACCACCAGCTCAGTGGTGAAACCATGCACAACAGACTGGGTCCTCCCATATCAATCACTAGTTAAGAAATTCCCTACAAGCTGCATACAACCCATTCTTATAGGAAGAGTTTCTCAATTGAGGTTCTCTCCCCTCAGCTGACTCTACCTTATGTCAAGTTGACATAAAACTAGCCAGAATGGATTCCAAATGTCTGGTGGTACAGAAGGCATTGCTAAAGTTTTCAAAGAGTTTGAAATGCTTCTCACGGTTTATGCCACTGCAGATATGGGGACATCAGGGAAGGGACGTTGACAGTCACCTTTTGGTTCTACACTTGATGTAAAACAGGGACCTGTAGTTGGACTTTGTTGCTGGACTTTCTTTGGACTGCCACCCCCCAAATAATGACACAGACACTTATTAGTTATGAAGACTTGGCCTTAACTTAGTCTCACTCCCAATTAGTTCTTATATCTTATATTAACCCATTAATATTAATCTACATTTTGCCATGTGACTGTTACCGCTCCTCCATATGTATGTCTGATTTCTATATATCTCTTTCTCCCAGAGTTCTTATCTCTGCCCAGAAATCCTGCCTGTTCTCTCCTCACTAGCTATTGGACATTCAGCTCTTTATTAAACCAATCAGAGGATCACATCTTCACACAGTGTAAACAGATACCCGGCAATCTTTCTCCTTTTGTGTGTAAATAAAAAGGAAAGGTTTTTAGCACACTAAAACTATATACAATTATCAAGTAAGAATTGCATTTGCAATGTCCTGTTCATTTGTTTTTGGTAAATTTGGAGAAAATACTCTATTATCTATCCTATCTTGGAGAGTTCAAAGTTTTGTACCTAATTCAGTTTCTATCATAACTTGTATTACTGATCTAGAAATATTTTTTAGGCCTTAAAACATTTTCTTAGATACAAAACTTAAGTTTTTATGTCTCTCTCAACCATATATACTTTACATATCTTTTATGAGTTTTTTTCTGAATTGGGTAACAAGGAAAACTATAACTATCTAGTCTTCAACTCCTTCAGAGACCTGAGAAGGATAAATATTACCTAAGTAAACAGGGAGCACATAGTGAACAACTTTCCAAACTATAGAAAAGACAGAGACATCTGGATGCCTGGGCAATTACCCAAGGTTTCTCTGAACATTGGGGCATCCATCTTTGACCTACAGGCCTAGAATATCTAACATTATTGTTTGTGAAGCAGAAATTTTGAAGGACTGTCCTACCTTGTCTTGACAAAGTTTGACAGTCACCTTCTTTTGTGTCCTGCATGTCCAATTTGGACAGCATACTGTCAGTAGTTGAGGCAAGGGCAATTTCTTGTGCAGTGGCCAACTTTGTTACAGTGAAAGAAAACTCTATATCGAGGTTTTTCTATGCCCATCATCTTCTCTGAATTAGATTGGTACTGCCAAAAGCAGATGTATCTCTTAAATTTGTATCAGTATATAAATATAAATAGCAATGTAAAATATTTGAGATTAATAGTTGCTTTTTGGTTTAAAAGTAGCTTCAGTAATCTACTGTTTTATTCTATCATTCATATATCCCCCCATTTTTATCTTTTTAGAAAGAAATCACTGAATCTAACCTTTGCTTAGTTTCCTCCCTGGCCATGACCAATAACAACTTGAAACCAACCTCCCTAAATGATGATAAACATCCATAATCCATTGAACAACTAAAAACTACCCACCTCACCTCTTTGGGATGTGGGCATCATGTTTTTAAAATTACTTCCTGTTGTCTGGGGCAACAGCATCTTTAGTAGATCCTGAGAAATTTGAGATAATGGTAAAGTCCTGGGAAAGCTAGCTGTATCATTTATTGTACAGTCCCTGTGTAATAGGAAAGAGCAGGGCTTATCTGAAGTCCTGTCTGGAGTAGTCTGTGAGGCTGGACCATCTCAGCTAACAGATTTGAAGTTGTTCTGGATGAAGATTTTTTGAGAAAATTGCAACAAAGGCTATCTGTGAGGCTGGATCACCTGGGCTACTTGTCTTCATTGGTTCCTGGTCCTTTATTTCTGAAAATACACAAACTTTTAAAGGTAACATATATATCTGCATTAGCACAGTATGGAACGTGTGGTGTGCACAAGTCAGCTAAAGATGATTCTCTGTTCTATGTTTAAGCAGGTAAAAGACATCTGTCAACTTTATAAATCCATTTGGACTGCACAACCAAACTTATATAAATCTCTATTCATGTCAGTCATCAGGACTTTGTAGCCAACAAGATTTATCATGTCTCATTCAGTATCAGAGCTATTCCCCTATAGAGGGATCAGCTTATATCACCTGTCTTGTGGTTTCTTCCTTCATGTCTGCAACAAAGATTTTCAGATCTCCCCTGGTCAAATTTGTCCTCTGTTAACTTTGAAGGAATCCATAGCTTTTTGTTTTCTGTGGAAAGATGGTATAATATAGGGAGAAATCCACCCTGTCCATACCTGTAAGACTCACCATGCCCATTTGAGCATGGTCACAGGTGAGAATGTGATGGAGGGGGGACTAGTTCTGGGGTCTCAAACTCGAGAGCTCAGGGTCAGGTCACAGGGAACAGCCTGGAAGGATCCTTGAACCTGGAACCTGTGGTGGTCACCCGCCTCTTGTGTAAGTGCATTCTTCCCAAATAAACTTCACTTGATGTGTACTGAATCTTGATTCCCACACAATAGTATAATCTCTCCCCTAACACAACACATTTCCTGACTTCCATTCTGAAGTTAATGCATCCTTAAACTATATAGGTTAGTTTAATTTAGCAGGTTTTTTTTCAATCCAACGTCTGTCAGCAGCATTTGCCCTTTACTCACCAGAATTCAAAAAATTCTGAGTCAACAAAGCAGCATACAGGATCCAGATGCCCTGGGTACTTCCCATCCTTACGTGGTTTGTTCTTTTTCTATAGTACTTTATTCTCTTTAAAAACTTTATTACTTTAATCTATTTTTCTATGACTGTCCATAGCCATTTTCTTTTCATTCTTCAGCACCTAAGCACATTTTTAAGCATACTGTACCTATTTAGAGGTTTTCCAGCCTGGGCCTAGCTTTCTTTTTCTCACATCTGCAGTGTTTCTTTGACAGAGTGAACCAAACCTTAAACTGCTAGGTGGCAGGTCGGCTATCTGCCACTTGGTTCTGCTTAGGATATGATGCTGATGGCTGGCATTGCCCTTCCTCAGGTCAATGAGAGCCAAGCCTCATGCCCTCAGGCCCAAGCCAGGAGCTGCATTGACCTGTCCAGCTCTGGGAGTTTGCAAAGCCCATGCCACCTAGTGCCAAGTAATGTGCCAGCTATTCAAGTGCTTAACTGTACAGAATGGTTTCTTAAAGGAGCCATGCCTCTCTAGACTGCAAACATCGTGCCTACCTGAGACACTATGGTCACCAGGAAACCACATCAGACTGCATGTTCAGTAACTTTTTTGTCAGCTTCATCAGTCCCTATATGGATTTGCATACCCTACAGTGGGCGCAAAATGAAGCTGGACTTTCTTCTGGTCTCTTTGGACCACTAATCCTCAAATAATGACATGGAGACTTATTATTAATTTTGAAAGCTTGGCCTTAGTTTAGACTTGCTCCCAACTAGCTCTTATATCTTAAATTAACCAATTTAGATTTATCTGCTTTTTTTGTCATGTGGCTGTTCCTCTCACCCAAAATGTATGTCCAATTTTCTACATGCCTTGCTGTTGGATCCACGTCTGCTCTTCCCAGAATTCCTATATCTGCTTGGAAGTCCCACCTATTCTCTCATACCTAGCTATTATCCATTCAGTTCTTTATTAAATCAGAGCAACATATCTTTACAAAGTGTAAACAAATATCCCACAACAGGGAGAGTGACCTTTTTGGTTCCTCCCTTAAAGTGAGCCTCAGCCTTTTCAAGGTATGGAAGATGCCATAAATTTCACAGCATAGCATCAGTGTCGTCCGTTTGCTTCAGGAAGAATCTTGCTCCTGGGGGATGGTAGCCTCACTGATGATGCCTTGGACTTTATTGGTGTAGACTCATACTGGAACATGTACAGTAAGGGGCTTAGGTCTGTGAAGAGAACATTAGTGGTGACCTCGTGTACTTTCCTAGAGTGAAAAAAAGCCCTGATGACCAGCTATTGGCCACAACTGTTTACTGTCATCCTCATGGTGTATCAGAGATGAAGCTGCCCTTGAGGAAAAAATGTAGATGTATCTCTGTCAAACAGTAATCCCTGCCTTCACGTGTGTGCAGTCTACCTGCTTATGACATCCTTTACAAGAATGCCCCATTTTGCCGGGCATTGGTGGTGCATGCCTTTAATCCCAGCATTTGGGAGACAGAGGCAGGTGGATCTCTGTGAGTTCAAGACCAGCCTGGTCTACAAGAGCTAGTTCCAGGACAGTCTCCAAATCCACAGAGAAACCCTGTCTTGAAAAACCAAACCAAAAAAAAAAAAAAAAAAAGAATGCCCCATTTGTTGCAACTGATGTGATGGTTAGTCTTCATTGTCAACTGGACTGAATTTAGGTTGACGATGGAAACATGCCTGTGAGGCATTTCCAGAGAAGAAGAAAGACCCATCTTGAATGCAGACAGCATCATACCATGGGCTGGGGACCTGGACTGAATACAAAGAAGAAAGTAAGCTGAGTGTCAGCATTCATCTCTCTCTGCTTCTATACAATGTTACCAGCCTCCAACACTCCTGCCAGCATACTGCCCCTGTGTTGATGAACTATATATACCCTCAAACTATGAGCCAAGATAAACCCTTCCTCCCTTAAAGTTGCTTCTTGTCACATCAAAGAACAAAGTAACTAATACAGTTGGTGAAGCTACATAGAGACATCCTCATTACCAGGAGCCCATAGCTTACATTAGGGTTCAATCTTGGTGGGTTTGAACAAAGAGATAACACGGGAATACTGTTACGGCATCATACAAAGTGGTCCCATGCCCTAAAAGTCCTCTAGGCTTCATCTATTCTTCTGTACCTCCTCCTCCTCAACCTCTGGCAACCTGCTATCTGAATTCTCTCCATGGCATTTCGTTTATAGTGTCATCTATAGCATGTAGGTCTTTTTGATTGGCTTCTTTTACTTAGTCATATGAATTTAATTTCCCTTAGTGCAGAATAATATTACATTATTTATACACATAGACATACCACAGTTTATTTACCTATTTACCTAATGGCAGAATCTTAGTAGCTTCCAAGTTGTGGCAATTAAGAGTAAAACTCCAATAAACACCTGCTCTGCTGGTAAGGTTCCTCACTCCTTACATGGCCCATCACTGTGACCTCCCCCCCTACATTCTACTATCTGTCCTCCCTTGTGCTCTTGTCCTTTACCCCAGGTTAGCTCAGAAGGACAGATGCATGTCAGATGGTAGAGTTAATCTGTAAGCACATGCAATGTCTCATGCCAGGGACAGCATCTCTGGAGGCTAGGCCTAGGGCACACAGGCTCACCAGCTTCCTCTGCTCTGGGGAAGCTTGGCTCTACCAAATTCAGACCCAAAAGAGAAGTAGGTGACAGAGTGGCCAAGCAGGCAACTTCTCAACACAATGAGTATAGGATGGGCTCCTCCTCGAGTGACACAGATGGCAGGTGAAGTACGTGTGGAAAAGGAGGTGCTCTTACATCCTTCTCCTGTCCCTCCTGCTTTCTGCCCCGTCCCCATCACTTTTCTGATGGTCTGGATAGTTTTCCTGAACCTGGCATTAAGGTCATTCATGTGGCTGGGCAACCATCTCCTCCACGTGCACTACAGTCTCCATTCCTTGGTCCCAAACTGCATCCAACAGCAGCTTCCTTCTCCCTGGCCTTCCAGGTCCCTGTCCTGCTTTCTGTCTGCAAGTTTAACAACTCCAGAAACCTCGTGTGTATGGACTCCTGCTGTGCTGGTCCTTCTGTGACCATGTGATGTCACTATTCTAATGCCCTCGAGGCTCTCCCTTGCAGCAGCTGTCAGAATCAGCTTATTCTTCAAGTCTGTGTGTGTGTGTGTGTGTGTGTGTGTGTGTGTCATTTGTGACAATGTAAGTGAATGTAGACTGCATGGTGGTGAGTGAAATATTTTGGGTAAAAAAATACCACATGATGACCACGGGGTGGGGGTGGGGAACGGGAGAGCAAGGATACTGCCTCAAAAATAAAAGTTTTCAGTTAGAAAGAAAGCTCAAGAGTCCTGGTGGACCACACAGGGACCATAGTCAGTGACACTGTATGGTGGACATGAAATTAACCAAGACAAAACAAACTATGACAAAAATGAACTATGTGAGATAAGAGCCTGTCTTAGGGTTTCTACTGCTGTGTGGAGACACCATGACCACGGCAACTCTTGGTTTTTGTTTGTTTGTTTTTTGTTTTTTGGGACAGGGTCTCTCTGTGGCTTTGGAGGCTGCCCTGGAACTAACTCTTGTAGACCAGACTGGTCTAGAACTCATAGAGATCCGCCTCTGCCTCTTGAGTGCTGGGATTTAAGGTGTGCACCACCACTGCTCAGCTCAGTTCTTATAAAGGGAAAACATTTGATTGAGGTGGCAGCTTATAGTTCAGAAGTTCAGTCCATTGTCATGGTGGGGAGCATGGTGGCATGCAGGCAGGCATGGTGCTGGAAAAGTAGTTGAGAGTTGTATATCTTGATCAAGATGCAGAACAAGACTGTCGCCACACTGGGGGCCCACCCCACAGTGACACACTTCTTCCAACAAGGTCACACCCACTCCAAAAGGCCACACCTTCAAATAGTACCAGTCCCTATAGGCCAAGCATGCACACATATGAGTCTATGGGGGCATTCCTATTCCACCACCACAGAGTCTATGCTAACCTGATTTAGTCATTCCATGTGTAGTAGATGTAGCAAAGCATTATGTTATATGACAAATATATGCAATTTTTATGTTTTAATTTAAAAATCTGTGGGCGTTGATGGGAGCAGATGTAGAAATACATGAGTAATAAATGGACCAAGCTCCTGGAGAACAACTAAAGTGAGGGAAGAGTGATAATATGAACAAAGGAGTCAAGACCATCATGGGGAGACCCACAGAATCAGCTGACCCGAGCTACTGAGATCACTGACTTGGGTTTGACAAATGGGGAACCTGCATAAGACCGAAGTAGAGTCCCTTAATATAGCTGATGATGGTGTAACTGGGACAATATATGAGGCCACTGGCAATGGGTCCAAAATCTAACTCTAATGCACAAACTGACTTAGTGGAGCCCACAAACTCTCTTAGTGGAGAGGGTTATGGAGTAATATCTTGTCCAGCTTCCAGATACAGGAGTGTGAGGGGTGGAGAGATACCTTGGTCCTGCCTCAGTGAGATGATGGGACAAACTTAGTAGACTTCCTAGGGGAGGCCTTATCCTCTCAGAGGAACAGGTGGGAGGTGGGAGGGGGAGGGGGAACAGGAGAAGAGGAGGGAGGAGGAACTGGGATTGGAATGTAAAAAATAAATTAATTTTAAAAAATCCTGTGGTGTTAGCTCACTTAGACCAAAACATGATATATGTGGGAACAATGCATCATAAGTTTTAACCACCACCAACAGAGGCATACCCAGAGGATACGGCCTTAGTGTGCTGTGGTCCACAACCTCTCTCTAGCCCTGCAGGCCTATGGCATCTCCATTGAACAGTGACCCAAGGCTGAGGCGGTACTGAGCTTCAAAGTCAGTGTCCCCAAGGGGTCTGAGCAGAGCCACACCCCCAGAGAAGGGCAGCTCTGCCTTTAGAGCAAGACAGGCCCAGCAGACGGATGTGCAGCTTCCTAGAGCAAAGCCACCGTGAAAGTCACAATTTTGGGGGGATGATGAAGAACTTGCAAGCACATGCATGAGGACCATTGAAGAAATGAAGAAACTGAAGCTGCTCCTGACAGGACAGCAGGAATTTGGCAAGGGGTGGCTCAGGCCCAGGTTACCCACAGCGATGAAACACAGCAGCCGGTGGTCATGAAATATTTATGAATGGGGAGTGGATGCTGCATTCTGCAGCCAACGCAGGGGAAAGCGAAGTTTCAAGAAGCCTGTGATAGCAAAACCCTCCATTAATTATCAGAAGCAAGCTGTAACACCGGTTCCTATGGCAACGGGGTCCCCAATGCGTTTTGTGCTTTTTTTTTTTTAAGCTGCTCCCACTTACTGTGGTACGTTGCATTTCACCGGAGGTTTTATGCTTGTCCTTTGCAAATGAATTTATCCTGTCCTCACAGCTCAGCGGCTGGTGTGGAGACCGACAGGCGGGTCCTGGGGAAAGTTAAATTATGCAACTGTGAGCTCAGCTGCTCTGAGGGCATCCAAGCCTCTGTGAGCCTTTGCACTTCTGGCAGGGAGGGAATGAGGGAGGAAGGGCAGGGAGAGAGGTCTGGAGGGGACAACTAGAAAGCATGGGCAGTGGAGGGGGCTACTGTTGCCCCCAACCCCTTGGTTTTGCAATCCACACTTGCAGTAGTGTAGAGACAGGCTGGTAAGCTCAGTGCCTGCTGTAACTGCAGTAGCATCTAGTGCTTGCACTTGAAACCCTCTGGAGAGGGATATTGCAAAACGCAAAGAGTGGCTGGGTTTGGGTTTCCAGGAGACTGGGATGCACCTCCTTGAAAACCCTCCTTCTCCTGAAGGCTATTGCTCCTTGTCCCCACCATTAAATCTCTTTCCTCTAGGGCTCTAGAGGTTCTCAACTTCCTATTGTTGTAACCCTTTAACACAGATCCTCATGCTGTGGTGACCCCAACCATAAAATTGGTTTTGTTGCTACTTCATAACTGTAATTTTTGCTGTTATGAATCACACTGTAAATATGATATGTGACCCCCGTGAAAAGATCATTCAACCCCCAAAGGGATCATGACCCACTGGTTGAGAATCGCTGCTCTAGGGCTAAAAGGGAGTTTTATTTGATGGACAGGTGTGTTGGTTTAGCCTCAGTTGTCAACTCGATGAGATATAGAGTTGCCTGGTAAGAGAGCCTCTGGGCCTGCCTGTGGGGGGATTGTCTTGATCAGATTAGCTGAGGTAAGAAGAGTTGCCCACTGTGGGTAGCACCATCCCTTAGGTTAGGATCCTGGACTATATAAAAAGGAAAAAGTGAGCTGAGACAAGTATCCATGGATCTTTGCTTCCTGACAGTGTGACCAGCTGCCTTGGACTCCTGCCGCCATGGCTTCATCTCCACGGTCTACTGTGGTCCAGAGCTGTGAGTGAAAATAAACACTTTTGCTGGGATATTTTATGACAGCAGTAGGAAAAGTAACTAAGGTAATGCATGCTGCTGTGGTGGCTTGGCTGTGTAGACTGCTATCCATTGAAGCATGGTAGTCTCTGGCACTTGAGCACAGACAGGAAGTGACGGTGACTTCCTCCATGTCTACACTACTGATGAAGGCCATGCACATATTCCGTGCTGCTGGAGAGGAGGGAAGAGAGCTCGGAGAAGATGGAGTCACCATTCTGTATACATGCTTTTGAATGGAAGGCTATCTGGATGTGTCCCAGAGCTGGGGAGCTCAGGAACCCTTGTCCACACCATCCAATCTCAGACTCTACCCCCATAGCTAACCCACAGATATGGGGAGCAGAAGACACACCGACTGCTGACTGGTCTCCTTCAAGTCACACAGTGCTGTGTCTCTGTGACCATCACTTTATAGCTCCCCCAGGAGGAGGTCTTCCCTCCCACCTATGCTGAGGGAGTGGTGTCTCCAGGAGAGCTCCTGGACTCCTTTATTATTCAGACATAGAACTGGCTCCAGGAGCCAGCAGATGTGGAGGGACCCGCAAGCTGCAGGGTGGGTTCCTGGCCTCAGAGTTTTCTTCACAGGCAGGGCTCTGAACTCCTTTGCTGGATGGGGATTTCCTGAGTCTTTTGGGCAGAGCGACCCGAGGGAAGCTGTGAACCTGAACCGCTCTAGGCCTGTGTTCCTCCAGTTACAAAAGGGACTGGTGGTGGGAATGACACCCTGGGGCGGGAGGGGGGCAGGTGTTGTTAATGGAGGCTGTTCCCTACCTGGCAGTCCTTCTTTTTAATAATAATAATTGGAATCTGCTCGGGTGAGAGCAGCCTGGAGGAGAGTCTCATGAATATTCATTGAAAGGAGCTCAGATGTCAGTCCCAGAGAGCCAGGCCTTTCAAACAAGGGGGACTCCAGAAGGGGCCAGGCCTGAGACCCCTCTCCTGCTGCTCCAGTGAGGACTGCATCTTGGAAGGAGAGAGATGGCCAGGACTCTTCTCCAGTCAGGAGTACAAAATACATAGTCCATGTTCCAACTCAATGAAACCATTCCATCTGGCTCTGCCCCTGACTGCAGCCTCCTCAGACAGGTGCCTTTCTCCTGATGCCTGAACACTAGAAACAAACCTGTTTGTGTTTTTGAAATTGTCCATAATGATGGGACGCCATGCGATGCTCCAGTACAGGTGCACATCGTGTGTGGTGGTGCACGCCTGTAGTTCTAACATGCGATGGATGCTTCAGGACAGGTGTACAATCCTGTGTGGTGGTGCATGCCTGCAGTTCTAACATGCGATGCTCCAGGACAGATGCGCATCGTATGTGGTGGTGCACACCTGCAGTTCTAACATTCATGAGGCTGATACAAGAAGATGGTCAGTTTGAGGTCAGCCTGGCCACATGGCAAGTTCAAGGCAAGCGTAGGCTACATAGTGAGTCTGAGAACAGCCGAGGATACATACAGATTCCCTGTCTCACAGAGGAAAACATTTAGAGGAAATCACAGTAAATATACTTCCCAAAACACTTATTTTTACTGATGAAAATATTAGATGTTTTCTCTCCTAGCTTTTTGATGTATTCAGTATGTCATTATTATCTGTAGTCATTGCCCAGCTGTGCAAATCACAACCTGGAATTGATCTTTCTTCCCTCATTGTGACTTAGAACTCATTGTCCAACCCCTCTCCATCTCCCCAAACTTTCCAGTCTGTTCTTCTACCATTCCACTCTTAACTTGCTCAGGACCCACTATTCTGCATGTAAGTGGGATCATGTAGTATGTGCCTTCCTGTACTTGTCATATTTTGCTTAACACAATGTCCCTAGGCCTATCTATGCTGTCACATGCTATATCCATACCTTGGCTGCAGCTCATGCCAGATGAGAGCCTACGGGTATTGATGTCCCCCTGACCTGAAAATGTCCCCAGATCAGAGTGCAAAGTGTTCACGAAGCTCCCAAGGAGTTAATTCCCTGCTCATGACTTCTAAAAAAACAAAACAAACAAACAAACAAACAAAAAAAACCAACCATTATGTCCTAGGGAGATTTCCTCCCAGGAAGTTGCCCAGGGCCATTTGTTGTCTAGAGGGTGAGCAGAGACCTTTCTGTACTCATGGGATGATTTCAAGTAAAAAAAAGTGTCCAGGTCACAAGGACATGTCTGAGAGAATTGGGGAAAGGCAGGGAGGGGCAGGCAAAGAGTTTAGCCTCTGAGGAAGCTAATGAGGAAACGGGATGTTTCCCAACCAATTGCTGTTAAGCGACTATTGAAATGAATGCCAACCACCAGCACAGCATCATGAGAACATTTGCCCCAGCAGGGGCCAAACTAAAGAGAAAATGGCTGAAACCCTGATCCAAGCAACACGGAGAGCTTCAGAAACGGCCGAGGACAGTATACTGTGATGTACAGAAAGATGATGAGGTCGCTTTAAGAGGATGTGACGATTCAGGTAATGTGCAAGGAGGGACAAGTCAGGCCAGGCTGTGAGTACTGCAAACCCAGAGCCTGCTCTCCACCCCTGAGACAGTGACAAGGTTGCAAGTGACAGGACAACTCATGCCCCACAGAATGGTGTCTGGCTCAGGCCTGTATAATCCCTGCCTCTTGAACTAGGGTCAGGGGGCTCCAGGCTGCTTACTAGCTCTGGGACCCCCCCCCACATACACACACACACACACACACACACACACACACACACACACACACACACACACACTTTCTCCCCTGCTTCCTATTCATTTACTGAAATGTTAGAGGGCCATTCGGGTACAATCGTTTGCCAGGCATAATGGGTCATACTTGCCTATAATTACAGCACTTGGGAGGCCAAGGCTGGAGAATTGTGTCAAGTTCAAGTCCAGCCTGGATTGCAGAGAGCTCTGGGTCAGCTTCAACTACAGAGTCAGACCCTGTCTTAGGAAAGCAAAACAGAAAACCAGCTGTGATTCATGAGATCTTACTCGTCAGGCTCTCTTAGTTTGCTTTGTGTTGCTGTGAAAACATCCATAACCAAAAGGGTTGATTTCAGCGTACAGGTCACAGCTTGCCATCGAGGGAAGGTAAGAACTGGAGACCACAGAAGTATGCAGCTTACTGGCTTGCTCCCCAAAGTGTTCAGCTTGCTTTCTTATACACCCTAGGACCACCTACCCAGGCATGGTTCTGCACACAGTGGGATGGGCTTTCTCATATCAACCGTTAAATAGAATGTCCTTTGGACTTGCCTACAGCTAATCTGTGGTGGTTCTTAATGAGAATGGCCCCCACAGGCTCATAGGTTTAAAGGCTTGGTTCCCAGTTAGTAGAACTGTTTGGAAAGGATTAGGAGGTGTGGGCTTGTTGAAGGAAGTGTGTCACTGGGGGTGAGCTTTGAGGTCTCAAAAGCCCACACCAGGCCCAGTCTTTCTCTCTCTGCCTGCTACCTGTGGATCAGGATCGAAAGCAGTCATACTGCTCCAGTACAATGACTGTTTGCTCTGCACCATGATGAAAATGGACTCACCCTCTGAAATTGGAAGTGAGCCCCAAATGAAATGCTTTCCTTTATGAGAAATGCCTTGGCCATTTTTTTTTCAGCAGCAGAACCCTGACTAGGATATCATGTGAGGAGGAATTTTCTCAATTGAGGGTTTTCTTCCCAGATAACTCCAGCTTGTATTAAGATGACAAAAAACTAACTAGGACAGACGTTATTCCATGAGTAAGGTGGTGTGGTAGCTACAGAGTTTGGAGAGCAGGCACTGACTCTTGTGAAAGATTGACTGGAAGGTGGCGTTTTATTAGCTGATCCCTCTGATATGAGATAGATGCTCTGCTTCTCTTGAGGACGGAAAACATTTGTGTTGTGTAGCTGCCAGATGAAAAGATTATCTAATTTGTTCTAGTATAATAAAAACTCGGGAGTCAGATATTGAGATAAAGACCTGAGTGACTGGCCAACCCTCTTTCCACATTCTCAGGGACCTCCAGTACTGGAAATTCCACCCCAAACTCCTCCTAAGTTTCTTCCT